CTCGGACTCGAGGGAGGATTGAGGAATGAGGATTCAGAGTTCGGACTGCTCGGAGGTGACAGAAACGCGCGCTGTCTCTTTTCGCGTACTCGTCTTTCGAACACAATCACCGTCGACGCCGACAGTGATTGACGGCAATTCGGCAATCGTCAATTGAGGGATGAATGATGATATCGCGGCCAATAGATCCATAGACCACGACAGACGCGCGACGCGGTACAGTCGAGGATCAGCTCGGATCAGCTGTTCAATCCGCCCTCGTGCTGTCGTGCCGTGCCGTGCCGTGGTCGTGCGTTGGTGCTGGTTGGTGCGTGCCACTACGCCACATTACGCCCAATTACGCCACGCCGCGTCGCGCCATCAAGTACGTACTCGGTACTACTACGTATGTACGTCACATCCTCGGTCACATCTCACATCGCATCTGATTGCATCGATGCGTTTCTATTTCTTTCGAGTCTTTCGACTCTCGTAACACCACGTAGCATTCGTTCAGGCGTCGTCTACAATACACAGAGTAAGAAGTTAGACTAAGAAATTGACCAATCACAGTCGATTATTCTTCTCACATTCGACTGTGATTGGTCAACTTCTTACTCTTACTTCTTACTCCGTGTATTGTAGACAACGCCTCACACTCGTTCGTATTTCACGCATAACTATTAACAGATTCCAGTATTTCCACTTTCCAATAGTACATTCCTTTGTTACCCGCACCCCCCGCACCGCAATCAGCAATGTTTTTGCATGGTAATCGGTAACGTAATCTTCTCGTTTAAGGAGGTTGTAAGGTTGTAAGGGCATAAAACACATATATTAATATTTTCGCTTTAAACAAACTACATACATGTGAAAGTTGTGTTCATAACATTCTGGTTTTATTGAGCAACACATTTTTATAGGTTATTTATTTTATTTGTTAGTTTTATTGTTATAAACAAAAATTGTTAAAACAATAAAAAAAATCTAAATGTTTTTTTTTATATAAATATATTAAGTACTAAATATGACTTATGCAAAGTTTCATTGAGATTCACCATTAGTTTATAACAAATAACAAATTTTATTTATTTACTGAACAATTAATGTCTGCATCTCAAGATAACTTTACAAAAATATTGTTGAATTCCTAGAGTATTTATATAAAAAAATTGAGATTTTTATCATTATTTTATAATACATTTTCATATATTTATATTAGAGTACAAATTTAAAAAATATTACTACTTATTTAAATAACTTTTGATCTAGATGGTCAATTGTTTCTATTTTTTTTGTATTATTAAATGAAATTTAGAATAGTCTGTAATTTTTTCAAGTAGTTCTTAACATATTGCATTTGCCTTACAACCTCCTTAACGCAAACACACTTGTGTGTCGGAAATCTGCGAAATCTCGTCTACAGACTCTAATTAATTAAACGAATTTGGTTGCATACATTAGTGGCAAGCGAGCATATCGTTACTGATTTAATTCGAGTTTTTTTTTTAATATGAAATAAAAATATTTTAAATTATAAAACGCCATATTCAAGTCAAGAACTGGGTTTTTTGTTCTTTGTGCCCAATAATACTTCTTGTGAATTTATACAATTTCCAGTTCAAGCTAACTGTGCGCAAATTATTTGTTGAAGCTCATCAAAGATATAGAGAATGGATTGCGCGATCCGTGTGTCAAAATGGTCGATAGGGATGAGAGGGACCGTGGCAGACAGCCATTTCTATCTCTTTCCATTCAATAGTATAATGGGAGAAAGAATGAGAGGGAGATTGGCCGTCTTCCACGGTCCCTCTTTCTCATTATTGTCGACCACATTTGATACATTACTTAGAAACGGATCGCGCAGTCCATTTTCTATGTCTTTGAAGCTCATTATCAGCCAAGATGCTTATTTACAGCAATAACATTAAATTGCTTTTTAATTTTATTCATGTAATATTACTTTACTGAAATATTATTAGATACGAAGAATCACTTTGACCAAATGGTACCAATATGGCGCTTTTCAGTTTTCACTAATGTATACTTAATCCCATCGATTGATTTTCATTTAGGCCCAGTTTCACAACTGACGGTTAACTCTTAACCGAGGTTCAACTTATTCATTATCTCTTTTTAATTCTAGAATTAGAAAAAGATGAGAAATAAGTTGAACCTCGGTTAAGAGTTAACCATGAGTAGTGAAACTGGGCCTTAATTAATAAATTATACAAAATATGCATTTGTAATGTTCTAACAATGTACAATAAAGTGTATTAAAGATTTGTTTCTATATTTATAATATTTAAAGACATGTATCTTTAGGTCTTTATGTTAATCTGTATATAATAATTTTTATATACACCGACTGAATGCATCCAATCTCGAATTCACTGCATTTGAGGTAACTCAAATTAATAATTTAATAAATGTATGCAAGATAATTTGTCAAATCCTACTCTTTCGCATTAAAAGATTAATATACAACATACTTTGTAGTACCTACCTATGTAGTACCTACAGCACAGAATTTGCACAAATATCGCTGTAATAACGCTGCAATGTTGCTGCAACTTTTGTGCTGTAGGGGCAAGGCTTGCCCGGCAAGCAAATTATAATCTAAATTTATGCAAAAAATTATTTCTTTTCCATGTATACAACGTATACATTATACAAAACCATACTTTCACTACAATTTTAATACAAAAATAGATTGGTAGGAGTCATTAGATATTGTTCATCCATTTGGCGAAACTCGAAAGCGCACTGATTTCGTTCAGGCAGGAGGTTAATCTCGTTATAAAAAACTGCTTGTAGATGCATGATACTCTTGACTTTGGCGATGGCATTAACTTTTGTGAAGAGCTCCTGTGCCTTCGACAGAGTTTTTACTCCGCCGAGAATCATCTCTTTCCGAGCTTCAAAAGGATTCTCTGGCGCTGAAGCTATCAGACATTTGCCATACAACATGAATGCCCTGCCTTGATCGTAACACCCACCGTGACCCAGGACTGTAGGGATAGCGTCTTTCACTGAGTTCAAAGCCAACACAGGCAGACCCATTAATAACTGAATTAATACAATAGAGGATGTATTTTAGTCGATTGAATTATACACTCATATATTCTCTCATAAAGACAACTAGAACTCACTTGTATATTGGCAAGGTGCATCTTGACAAGCGCCTTGTAGTATGACAAATGATTCTGTGCAGCCAATTCCAAGGCTGAACAAAGACGCATTGTGCAATTAGTAGCAATTGCTGTCCCGTTATCCGGCAAGGAGGAGGCACATGTTATCTGACTAGAAAGAAGCGCGGCACGTATCATATATGGCGGAGTCATGTGCGAATGCTCCTCGATAGCGCCAATATACTCTAATCCTTTCGGAAAATCGCCTTTTGCCAGGCAAACTTCTACCAACCTGGAAATTTCAGATTTAGATTTCAGGAGTGCACATTTTTAGACAAGAATAATCATATATATTTTTTTGTGCACGTGCGCGCTCGTAAAATAAACTCTTTGTACCTGAGTTTGGATTCCAGCTGATCCAAGCTGGAGATATTCCTGGCTACTGCTTCTGCCTCGCCCCATTTCTCTTGTCGCAGCAGTTGCGTCAATATATGCAACTGTTCGCTCAACATCCAGATCTATGAAGCAATAAACTGAATTACGAATAGAAAATCAAAGAAAAAAAAAGAAAAAAGGGGGAAATCTTTCCTTTTCAAAGACTCTTTAAAATTCAGAAATTTTTCATAGAGAAAAGATTTTATTTGAATACATACCTTGTTACAAGGACTGTTGGGAAATCTTTCCTTGGCATGTGCCAATACAATGTCAGCGAGAGCGTATTCACCAAACTCGATCAACATATTGGCAACAGTGACGATCGCCTGGCACGTGGATGGTCCATTGAACATGTGCTGCTTCTTATCACCTGTATTGTGGAGAAGTAGTAGCTGGCCGCAAAGGGAGGCCATTTCCATTTTGCCATAGTACGCCCACAGCGCCGATTTCTCGGCAAAAGTGACAGACATCAAGTCGGACATTGAATGCTGGCAGTTTAGTATGTCCGATTTCATCAATATCTATATTGATGGAATTTAAATTGTAATTTTTAATATAAATTTATGTACGATGTGTCAAATTGATTAATTACTCTTTACTACGCACCTCGAATACTTGAAAAGGATTCTTGCCTTCTAAGGCATAACTATGCGCGTGTGAAATGAGACTTAAGCCTGTCGTATGTGTAATTCCAAGTAGACTTGCTTTGCCAACTGAGCGTTCTATCAGAGATCCTCTAAGTAGACAGGAATAAACGCAAATATATATGTATACATAATAAAATAACAAAAAGTCAATTACTTAAATAAAAGAAAACCTATACATCTTGTAATCATGTCTTTCTATATGTATATCAAGTTTTTTCTATCGATCGGTTTAAGAATGTAATTTTAGATTATATATGCCAAAAAGATTAGATTTTCATATATCTGTGTAAGTAATGAAAAAAATGAAGAATCTCTTATTATATAGACTTACTTTTTATTCTCTTTACTGATTAAGTAGGACATCCAAGAATGCGCAAGCTGCAAACACACGTTGTCTCCAGCTTCCTGAGCTAATTTAATAGCTTCTTTCAAAGCGTACTGTGCTACTTCCCTTTTCAAGAAAGCCATGAGAATTACTTGGTTGAAACAAATTTGTAACACTGTATGTATGTACAAACTACTACAGGCTGAATCTCGATTGTCAAATAGATTGAGGGTAGACAAAGAGTTAAGCGAGTTTAGGCTTGAGAAGTAGACAAAATAGATTACTTATGGTTAAACTGAGCGTGTAAAACGGCCAAGTTGAGTGCCGCGTAACGGAAGGTACGAGATCGATCCTCGGGTGTAGATCGGTTCTCCAGAGGTGCC